TTTTTTAATGCCTGCTCTACGGAGCTTTAAGTGAGATCTAGGAGGGCCCACGTGCCAAACTAAAGAAGATATTAGTATTTAAGTACTTAAGATTAACAATCATTACTTATTCTAAAAAATCTTAAAAATCAGGAAGACTATGGCCATCTTGGTTTGAACCAAGCTCCTCCACGACTCTGTTCAATTTTCTCTATCAAAGAATTATATATGCAATATTTTTTAAAATAATAGAATGCTTAAAATAATTTGAATATTGGCAATCCCATAATATTTTAGTCAAAATGTATAAATTTGTGTAAAACAGCTTACATAATTTAAAATCATGGGTATTTGAGAATGACTACTTGGTCCATAGGTGCCCTCACCTAGGCCAAAACCGGACCCCTGAACAGGGGTGGACTAGGTTGACTGGCCGATGTGCAGATATGACTAGGGATGCCTCATCTACTTGCTACATAAGACTTAGATAGATATGCTTGTTGAAAGAGGATCTAGGTTCCAAAGTGGGTTTTGGTGCATTGATGGCCATGCAATAAGGGTCTAATGGCATTTATGAGATGTGGATAGGTTATGAGTGATTGTGGGTGCATGATAACATAAAGAGGCCCCCTGGATTCAAAAGAATGTGGCATAAGGACAAATAAATGCTTACATTTATTTTGTATTTTGAAATTGAGTGTAAGAAATGGCATACTATCAAGGGGGACAAAAAATTAGTAAGCTTAAGGGAACCAAGTGTTCAAACTCCTATCCAAGTTCTAGCTAACCCTTAAGCCAAGCCAAATCTAGCTAAACTTTCCTATTGTGTTCTAACCTCCATAGAAGTTCCGCATCCTGGAGGTTCTGTGTTCTAGTGTGGAACTTGCACTTACCCTGTAAACCGTTTGAAATAGGTAGTGGCATAAATACCACCTCCCCTTCTTCCTCAAAGGTCATCTTCTACATTCACTCCTCTCTTTCTCTCTCTCTCCCGTTGAAGGCTCCCCAACCTCTCCTCTTGATTCTTGGTGTAATTCCTTGAGATATTGGTATTAGAAGTGAGTTAGAGAGCTTGTGAGCAAGAGATCCAACCAAAGAGAATGTGGTTCATCCTCTAGCTGTCAGATTTGTGTTTTATTACTCTTGGAAGTTGGCTCTAATTAGACGGTAGGTGTTGCCCAAGAGCTCCCAATTGTTGTGGTTGGGCACCAAGAGCTCCCAACTGGTTTTCCTGCAGGACATCCGACATGGTCAGCAACCAATCACCCAACACGTACAAGTTTTGCTGATGGTCAACCCTATCTTCTTCACCTCCATGATAAGTTAGAGCTTCTTTGGAGAAGGAGACCTGACATTCTACCATAGTGAAAAATAATATTCTCTGTAATGTTCAACTAGGAAACTATGTGAGTTCAAGATCACCGTTCGTAAGACATCAGATGTGTACAATGCTGCAAGAAAAAAAAAAGTTGAGATGAAGCAATGATCCAACATCTCACAGTTTTTTAACTTGAATTGTTATTGTCATACCATGACTCGTTAAGGAAATACTTTTATGATACATAGACCATGTAAATTAATATGATCATTGCTCCCTACATTCATTTATATATCTGGTCTATAGGTGGCATGCACCATACATCTATACTTTGAAGTAGTGTTTTCATAAATATCCAAAGAGGGTAATTTTAAGAGATGAATGTGCAATTTGGATGTAGATTTAGTGGTTACTTTTAGTTATTTATTTATAATAGCGACATAGGTGAATAATTTTTTGATGCAAAATTGGAGGTTATTAATTTAGTTTGCTTTCCATAGTGTTAGAGGTGGGTAATTTATATGCAAAGTTAGGGGTTACTTTGGGATATCTTTTCCATAATTTCAAGTCTTGGTGTGGTTTTCTAGAAAAATAAGATGTAATGACTATTATTGTCAATTATAATTAGAACCTACCGAATTCATGCTCAGCTTTATACTTTTTAGGATTTCTAGGATTTATTTTTTCTATCACATATCATAATAATTAACCCAATTTAATATTGGTTGGTTAATTTAGATGCAAATGGAGGTTAGTTTCCAAAATCACAAACTGAATGATTTATATGTTCCTTTGGGCTAATTTTTCATAATGATAAATATGTATATTTTTGTAGAAAAATTCAGTGACTATTGTTACCAAAATTATTAGAATATGCTGAATTAATAGCCAGGTTAACTGTTTTTTGAGAATTTATAGAACTTATTATATATGTTTATTTCTGCACTTAGTTGCTACTATATTAATAATAGAAATATTGTTTCCGGCGTACATCTTCCACACCAGCTGGGAACCAAACCATGCATTAGAAGAGTTTAATGTAGAGCAGATACTCCACGAAAGGTAGTTTCAGATTTCTAATTAACTGAAACTCTTAGGTAAAAGTAAAGATTTGAGATTTTTTATGACAAAACACCTAGGTCTTTAACCTAGAAGTACGAACCGGTTTGTGCTAACTGATTGTTAAAACTGCAATAATTTTGTCGTTCGTTGAGAAAATACAAGTTCAACTTAATTAACAAAAAAGAACAGCACACATTCGGTCATTTCTTTTGTATAATCTAGAAAGTGATGTGTTAAAAACTTATAAAAATGCATCTTCGTTGTCAACTGCATATGTGCGTTGCTGGTTCGCGAAAAAAAATATACCCGTTGCGATGCAGCACTGGCAAGATTACGCGTAAACCTACGAAAGCATGCGCCGAACGAAATAGCTAGCCTGAATTGGTACACACACATACGCAAGCATGCTCTGTAGTCCGTACATGTTGCATGGGCAGAACTGTGCCTATCGAGGAATTCGCACACACATTGCTAGTATTCGTTTGGTAGGGTCCGTTTGGTAGGGTCCGTTTGGTAGAGCTCTGGCTCTAGCCAAAATAACTTTAATTGTGGCTTCACCTGTGGAGCAGATTCACATGAGGAGCTGAATTTATTTTTTAGATCGTTTGACAAAACAGCTTCTCCTTACGATGAAAAGGGATGAAATGTCCATAATACCCCTTTTTTCTCTCTCCTTTTATTTGTTTTTATTTATTCTTTTTCTCACTACCTTATCACCCCGCACATGGACAGGCCTCGCGTAGGTTGTTGCTCCTTGTTCCTCTTCCCCGTGCGTTGGCTTCGTCGCGCCTCCCCGTGTCAAGGCCACGGCTCCTGGCGCCTCCCAAGCAACGCGCATCGCCCTAACCCTGCCCCTGCATCTTGCCGCCCGCGCGCCCCACAACCTCTACGGCTGCGCGCCTCACCAGAACCGCCGCCTCGCGCTCTCCCGGTTCCAGCGGATTCGGCGCCGGTGTCCAGCAGACGCACCGCCGTCACCCTCGCAGATGCGCCGGGGGCAAAGGAGACCCATGGCCACGATGGGGCCCGCTACCGCTAGAGGAAGCCGGAAGAAGCCACAAATTTTAGCAGGAATTCCCGGGCTTCTTCCTAAGATCTGAGCAGGTGAGAGGCGTTTGGCAGGTGGAGCCGAAAAACGGATTCAGGAGCCGGCCAAAAATCTGTACCAAATGGGGTCATAGTCTCCTGCCGAGTACATTGCCCCAAAGCAATCTTGTTGTTCCTCTACACAGTGACATACTATTATGAACCATTTCACGTTGGAATTCTGAGCATTGTACTTTACTATTATTTTAATGGAGAAATATGTAAATTGAGGGTCTGTTTGGTTTCATGTGAAAAGGGATTAGAGACTAAAGTTTAGTCTATTTTAACCAAACAGGAGGGACTAAAATAAAGACTAGGGACTAGTGGGCAGAAGTCTCTTGGGGTGAGGCTTATTGGGATTTATGGGGTAAAATTGACACCCATGCTCTTCATTTGTTGCTAGTCCCCACCCCTTCTTTCTCCCTTTGTCGTTTCTATCTCTCCTCGTTGAGATCCAGACCGGGCGCTCGTCTCCGATGGCAAGGGCAGGCGCAGGGCGGCGGTCCTGGTGGCTCCAGCGAGGCACTGAGGGCGGGTTCGATGTGGACTTTGAGCATCGATGTGGTTGTGTGGGTTAAGGTGGGAGAGGGAAAGAAGAAGATAAGAAGGGTATTTTAGTCTTTTTTCAATAGCTTTAATATCCTTTAGTTCCTTCTAGTCTCCAGAACCAAATAGGGTTGGTTTTAGTCTCTGGTCTCTGGACTAAAGAACCAAACAGAGATCGGGTGGAGTCTAGAGATCGGGAGGGACGTATTCTTTTTATTTGCACTGTGGAGAGTTCGTGTTGGATTGGGACTTCTTATCCATTCCTATCGAACGCACGCATAGAGATAGAGACATACATCCTGTTCGTTTGGCTGTGGTTTATCGTAAACGATCGTAAATTTTTAGTCGGAACAGTATTTTTTTCTCATACAAATCAATCAGCAGTACTTCTTCATAAACCAGCAACGAAACGAACTGGCCAATCGAACAGGCTGATAGAAGAGAAACGTCCTTGTTTTAGGTGGTGTTTGGTTGTGCCTCCTAAATTTTAGTCGCTGTCCCATCAAATGTTTGATACATGTATGGAGTATTAAATATAAACTAATTACGAAACTAATTGCATAGTTTGTGACTAATTTGCGAGACGAATCTTTTAAGCCTAATTAGTCCATGATTTGACAATGTGGTGCTACAGTAACATGTGCTAATGATGGATTAATTAGGCTTAAAAAAATCGTCTCGTAGAGTACTAACGGATTATGTAATTTATTTTTTTATTAATATCCAAACACCTCATATAACATCATCCCAACACAACTCCTAAATTTTAATTTTAAGTCACCGATCCAAAACACCACCTTAGTCCGATGCCTTCTAAAAAACAATTCTAGCACGATTCATATAACCCTAACCCTTGTTGGTTTCAAGTACTTCCCGTCCTTTCCCCTCCGCCGCCGCCGCCTATCCTGCCAGATTGTCTCCATAATCCTCATCTTCTCCGTCGTCGGCCTTCGATCGATACCGACGACTCGTCCTGAATTTTTCCCCATCATCAATCAAACGCTTCTCTATGCCCACCAATACCTCCGCCGCTTCCTCCAGCCGTCGGCGACGCCATCGCAAATCTTTCCCACCCTGGATCCTTCTCAACAACGAAGGCTACATCGGCAGCCGCCCCAACGCCACAACCGCCGTTCGCGAGGGGAGGGACAACCTGGCGTTTGAAGCGTCCATCTTGCCAGCGCAGCCGCCGCTCCCCTCCAACCTCTTCGTGCATTGCCCCAGCTTGAAACTCCCCCGCCCCTCCCTAATCCTCTCCACATCCCAAGATCTACTGCTCTTCCGTGTCCCGGTCGCCGTCGGTCCTCCATCAAGCACCGTCGCCTTCAATGACTGTGACTACTTCGTCTACCGGGCCGGTGGCGTCACCAGGCCCCCGTCGCTCACTCTGATCCCAGATCCGAACCCCAACATCTTCCACGTTGCCCTCGGAGTCCTTCCCCGTGGTGGGGATCTGTACACCGTCGCTGCGCTGCGCGACAGGCCCCCCAGCAACCATGGTTTCCTTTTTCGGCTGAAATCTCTTGATATTTTCGATATATCCTTTTTATCCGTAAGTGTCGATAAAAAAAATATCTATCTTTTTAGTACAAATTTTGTTTAAATTTATTTAAATTTATTTAAATTTACTTAAATTCAAATTAAATTTTATTTGAATTTGGTCCGATATTTCTGATATATCATGTTTATCCTCTTTATTTGTAACCCCCGATAAATTTTAATTTCCGAAAATGAAAACCTTGCCAGCAACGAGTATGAGCTCCAACGTTTTGACTCCGAGGCCGGGAGATGGACCTCCAAGTCGGTGTGGCTGGACGCGCCAAAGAGGGCCTTCCCGGTGAAGATCCCCGTTAACGCCCGCCGGCTCAACTACCATCTCACCACCACCATGATCACGCTTGGGGGTGAAGCTGGCACCATTGGTTGGGTCGATCTCTGGAGCGGCATCCAGCTCTACGACCTGCTTCATGATCATCAAGACAACAGTAGGCCCACGATCCGGCACATGCCGGTGCCGCTGCCGATGCACGCTATCACCTGCAACCGTGGGGCGGGCGCCAAGCTAGGCTGCCCACGCGCTCACCGTGGCATCACTGTCGCCACCAACAAGAGAGGCAAGACCTTCCTCAAGTTCGCTGACCTGCAAACCATTGGCGGCCGTCTTCCCTACAATGACATCGAGACCCAGCTGCCTGCATTTGAAGTCGATGACTGGATCGTCACTACATGGAGCAACATGGAAATGGCTGGCTTGTTCGAGGACTGGCACAAGGAATTTACAGTCCGTGGTTCCGAGATCAAGATCAGTGACGCCATGCGTGCAGAGTTGCTGAGCTCTGGATTGCTGCACCGTAAACCGACGCGGGATGATGGCGAGGAGCCTGCCACGGACCACGGTAGAGCTCGCCTTGCAGAACCTCGCGGTGTCTGAGCCCACACCGAGGCAGAATGGTGATGAAGATGTCCTGTACCTGATGGCAAGGACCAAGCTCTTCCTCCCCAAGGCGTGGGCTCTCTCTATTGACATGAGGAACAGCACACTGCTAGGTGTGGCTGAGTTTGGCACTGAAAGTGGACGGGATGTATGTGTCACCTATCGCCCTAGCACCATCTCCAAGTATATGAAGTCAGTGTCCGCTCCAGGTAATTGATATGTTGTATCAGCCTAATTTTGTTGCTTCAATCAACCCACTTCCAAGCATGCATATGTTATGTGAATGACGTTTGATTTCAGTTCATATTGTTAAAAAACTGCTATTTCTATTCATTATAGTTGTATTAGCAAACTGCTATTTCTATTCATTACAGTTGTATTAGCTATACATACACTCTGGTGTGGTCCTATTTTTCAAGAAATGAGATGAGACTAAGCTTTGCTAGTGATCAAGTCAAACACTTTGTTTTTTCTTGGTTAGTATAGCAATCTCAAATTAGTTGGCTGTACAATTTGGATCAGGGGGTTCGTGTTGTATCATGAAATTTGGTTGTCTTTACAGTTCACCTCTTGTTTTGAAATATGTGAAACCCCTCTTCCAATCCCCATGGTACCAGTGGCACATTTCTGCAGAGTTTTCCTAGCTAGGTATATCCCTACAATTACTAGGTAACTAATTCCATAGTTATAAAGGGCGAATCCAGAGCATGATGCTGAGGGCATTTGCTTATCTTCCCTGACTTATGTGACTTTTCACTTTCACCCATATCCCGCTCGATTTTGCCATTATTTTGGCAATCCGGCTTGATCTTCCACTGCTTCCCTGTTGATTCTGCTGTCTTCTGGTCAGTTTTGCAACTTACCTGATCAGTGCTCCAAGCATCGCATTCGGACTGAAAGAGGCTGCTTTCTTGACATGGAATCGTGGCTGCCTTGTGTAGCAGTGGCCTTTTTTTGTGTGTGTGTGTGGTGGTGGTGGTGGTGGTGGTTGGGGGGGGGGGTATTGGGCTGAGCTGGTTGATTAAGCTAATGAAAGGCTTGGTCTTTCTATGACTAATTCTGTACTTAATAGAGCCCGATATCTCTCTCTTTTATTTATGGTGTCCTTGAACAGTGGTAACACGTGGATATGTTAATTATATTAATCATACATACACTACTACAGAATGGACCTGTTGTCCCGGGCGGTAACAGCCTTTAGTCCCGGTTACCGCGCCGGGACAACGATCCCGGACTAAAGGTGGAACCTTCAGTCCCGGGTCATCAAGAGGATTAAAGAGGGACCTTTAGTCCGGTTGGTAACACCAACCGGGACTAAAGGCCCTCCAACCAGCGAACTGGCGCATTTTTTAGTCCCGGTTGGGGTTACCAACCGGGACTAATTGTTCACCCTTTAGTCCCGGTTGGTAACCCCAACTGGGACTAACGATTCCTTTTCTTTTTTTTTTTTTTTGTTTAATTTGTTTTCAGTTCAGTTATACGTATTTGTTTAATATATAATATGTTTTTATGTACGTATTCTACGTTGCTAATATAAATACACGCATGCATATAATTACATCTAATTCTCATCTTGAGCATTATTATATTGAATAAAGTATGAAACTATATATATTATAGATATATATATATATATATATGTGTATATACAACACTTTCATAATCTTGTTCTCGAAAATAACGATATCAATAAACATTTAATTTACATCATTTATTCCTTAAGATCAAAGTAGAACTCATGCGTTGGGATTTAACACTTTTTCTAGAAGATATCCCGCTATTGACTCTTGAACGCTTTCAGATGGTCTTTTGCATGACCCTTCGTTTCAACCATTCGGTCTTGCATTTGAAATAAAAGGAAAAGTATTAATACACATATATGTATATATATTCTTTTAAAAATAAATAAATATTGATATATACGTACTCACGAGGACATCTTCGGAGTTCTTCTTATGTGCTTGTGATGATAAATTCACAAACGTAGTATCCACACAAGTTATTACCGGTTCCTCGCCGCATAAACACCCTGCATACGAGAAGAAGATTATTCTCATCATCTCACACGTAAATTGAAGTACGATATAGTAATTAAACACGTGGGGAAGTGTATATAGTACAACTTCTTGGTATTTCAACTACATTAAGTGGTGCCTTGCAATCCTTGCGATGTTGCCGAATAAACTCTTTCCAAACCCGTATGCGACCAATAATGTACGATCGTTAATAAATTATGGCAAAGTCTATTCAATAATAGTTTGTGCGAGAGATCGAAATTACCCTGGATAATATCTATCATATCTTGGTATAGTGCCCGTTCTTTTCTCAACGAGTCAAAGATTAGTAACCGACTTGAGTTTAACTCAATGACAATGAGTATCCGATGAAAACTGCATTGGTTTATACACACACGTACATGCATATAAGTTGTATTGATATTACATAAAATGTGTAGACTACATTATTATTAACACTTACTCAAAGTTGTACGGGAAAAGTATTGTTGTCTTGTCGTCTTTGCTTCACGAAGAACTTCATGATATTCCTCGTGGCGGATACCCAAAGTGGTCCTTGACAATAATATCGGTTTTGAATACGATATAAGGATCAATGAAGCCAACTTTGGTGTCTTGTATTCTTTGGAGCTCGACATCCGGAATCTATATATAAATATAAGTTACATGTGAGGATAATTATATACGCACGCATGGAAGTGAGTTTATTAAATAAAAGTAAGAATCACTTACAAACAAAAGGAGCTCATGATTGATTTGTCCAGGCGTCCAAGTGGAATAGTTGATGCAATTCTTGAAACTAATATGTAAGATGATGTCGCCGCCACGGAAGTAATGATGGTCTCTAAATCGACAAAGATCTTTGCTCACCCCGCCACACGCCTTTGCATGTACCACTTGTTGAGCAAGTACATTTGCGTACCCAATTCATTCAGAGCGCGAGGTTGTACAGACTTTTGCCATATTTATAAGTCTTCCGGTATCAACTTCCGAGTTACGGATTGGAGCTTTGCCCGTCAATTGATCCAAGGTTAAACCAAAGTATCTTTAAAAAAGCATTAAGGGCTTGAACCGACACTTCTCCGAGTTGTCCGGTCGATAGACTTCTATGTTGGATCCATATTCATTAGCAACAACAAGATTTTGCATTGGTTGCTTCGTTGTCCGGTGTGGGACATCCTTCCCCGATGCTCTTTTCCTTTTCTTATCTCGCATCATGTGACTTCACGAGGGAGCGGTCATAGTCGATAGTGGCGAAGGCTTACGAAGTTCAATCATCTTTTTCTTGTGAGCATCGACCTTCCGCCGCCTCAGCACATCTCGTGGTATGTAAAAGTACGGCTTCTCCTTAAGCTTTGCTTGACTCTTGTTTTGATATCTATAAAAAATCTTTTACTTTTTTGTCTTCTTCGCGTTGAGGCCAGTTCTTTTCTATTGTTTCAGGTATGATTCCTTGGCGTAATCTCGCTTCTAGGTTACGCCACTTGGGAATAGCACTCCTATAACCACCGATCCCATGCGATGATGGTATTGCTTACATCGGGCATTACGCCGATTCCTCATCACACGTTCCTCACTTTGTCTTGAGATGTCTTGTATTCTACTGAAGGCATCCCAATGGGACTCAACTTGACAAACGCCTTAGCATTGAAAATTGGCGTAGCATTCTTCAAGATAAACTTTTTATACAATGTCTTCTTCCAACTCTGGAACAATGTTGCCATCTTCTTCATTGTCCAATCCCTCACTAGCTCCTTCAAAGCATCATCTCGCTTGTAATGTGAAATGTTGAGTGATATCTCTCCAAGCTAGGTTCTTATCACGATCGGATACAAAACTAACATTAGAGCGGATATCTTCGCTTCCATTCACGAGCACTAATCGGGATCCTATCCTTACAATGAACCCACATTGATTGACATATGTCCGAGCATGTGGTCCCAATGGTTTGCGGTGTCGGTGTCGAATTTCGATATTATGAAACGGCCCTCTAATGGCTTTTTTGGCCCTCGGACTTTCCTACTTTTTTGTCGGTGGTTGATGTAGATCCGAGACCGGCTACATGAGTAGAAACACAACGATTAACAACAAATATCGTACGCATGCATCTATAAGAGATGATAGATAATCGAATATACCTCGCTTGATATTTTCTTGCGCGACAATTTGTTGATCTTCAACCACCCGCATATTCAGGATATCCTCATAATCATAAAATCTTGACTCGTGTCATCTACATCCACATTGGTGCCGGCGTTGATAATATCCGCCATTATGTCATCACTCAAGTTATCATCCGGAGCAGCCATTTGTATCTTCAAGATAACACATAGATAGAATTATTATGGTACATAACATAAGTACATGTGATAACACATATAGAATTACTAAATCCAATTAAATATAATAACACATAATATTTCATAAGGATAAACAATAATAAGGTATAGGCTTTGGAATCGAATCAAAAACACTTTCGATCCAAAAACATGGAAATAAGTACATGTATATATATATACACATATATTTTCTCTCTCTCTCAACACATAGAAATAAGTGCATATGTCTATATCTCTAGATATGCATGTGATAACACATAGAATGTCTCTCTAGATACAATTTTCTCTCTCTCTCAACACATGAAAATAAGTACATGTATATATACATATAGAAATAATTAATTAAGTACCATATGTATACATATAGAATCTCTCTCTAGATATATATATATATAGAGAGAGATAGAATATATAATTAATAAATCCAATTAAATAAATCTAACATGAAATTAGATAAACTAGTAATAGATAATACATTTTAATCTAACATATATCAAAAACTATAATAAAAAACTATCTAAAAAAACTATCTAAATAAGTACTAATTAAAATTTAATACATTTTAATCTAACATATATCAAATATTATAATAAAAAACTATCTAAATAAACTATCTAAATAAAGTACTAATTAAATTTTAATA